TTGAATTTCATTTTTAAAATTTCAAAAAATTTATTTGTTAGATTTGTTTGATTTTTATTCTTAAAATTATATTTAAATGTTTGTTTTGAATGTTTTTTGAATTTTCACTGAAATATTAAAAACATGTTTTGAGTTATATGTTATAAGTTTATCTCTGTGTTTCAAAAATATCAGATCAAACATGTTTTTGGTGTTTTGCAAAATTGAAAATTGAAAACTACTATATATATATATATATATATATGTTGATTTTTCCCTTTTTTTAACATCTTTTCTTTTTTATATGTCAATGACAATGAGCATTTAATTTACTTATTTTATTAATTTTTTATTATTATTTTTTAAATTGTGTGATTAAAAAGTAAAAAAATATTAATAATTTAAAAAATATATGATCGAATTTGGGAAGAAAAATTAAATAACTCTCAACTTCTTATAGCCTTGTAAAAATAATTCTATTATTTTAAAAAATGTGCTACATTTACATGATAACTTATATAATGATTTACACATGATCCGATGAGATATAACTGGACATAATTTGAATTTCTTCAACCAAATAAAAAAAATCACCTTTATCTTTTTGATACCTCGTTTGTATATAAATTATTATATAAATCTATTACGTATAGGTAATATTATTCCTATTTCAATTATTTTACATCGCTTCAAGTGTTATTCTTTCGTTTTCTTATCCTCACTTTCTCCATCTCCTTCCAATTTTGAAAATAGTTGGTCATGGATCTAAGATAAGTTTGCGTTATGGATATAGATACATGCCCCATAAAATAATACTTTTGGGATTAAGACAAATTACTATTTTAGATAAATTACTTGTTAATAAATAAATATTTATTCATTAAGATAAATATTTATTATTTTAAATAAAATCGTTATATTTTTTATACGTTTATGGGATATTTGTTTTCGACCACAATACATGTACAACTCACAAAATAAAAAACTTGTGAGTTTGATTTAATGAAAACAAAAAACAAATGACTTCAGATATATATGTCTGAGACATGGTTGAATTGAGAAAATAGTAGTCGTCTGATGAAAAAATCCATATTAGGTCTTATTAACTTTTATATAAAATCAATTATTATTTTATATATTCATAGCACTTAAAAGGTTTTAATTAAAATTATTATCTTATGCATTCAACTAGGTTATTAATATATTACATCGACCCAATTTGAGACTAAAAAATTGGATTTCCGGAATTTTACTTCGCTCTCCCTATCCTCTTCAAAAAGGAAAAATAAATAAATAAATCTATATGCCAACATAAAAATCGTCATTCTATCAGCACGATGACTAGGCCCATGTTTGGGATGAATTAAAATCTTGATAAAAATTTAAGTCAAATTTAACAATTAATTTAAACCACACATTTCACGAGATTCACGACTCTTCAACTATACATTTCATCAGTACTTAAAAAAAAATTTGATTTTTAACTATAACAAACAAGGGCTAGATAACATGATCAACAAAAGGAATTTTTTTTTTTTTTTTTTTTTTTACTAATGAAAATTCAACCCAATATAGAGTTGCTTCTTCTTAGTTACATTTACACAATAAAATAATTTGTACTTAAATCCATAACTGTTCCTAATTTTTTAACTACACATTTTTCTGAGACACCATTCAGTATTCTCTCTCTTTAAAGAATGACCACCAAACATGGGCTTGAAATGTGCATGGGACCATATGGTCGGTTGAAGGGGGGAAAAACCCAAAGGAAAAGCCTAGCTGCTTTTTGTCAAGCACATGTGCAATCAGACTTTTCTCATCAACTTCAATTGAATAATCTTCTTAGGCAATCAAGTATCTTATTCATGAATACGAGATGAAGAAAAGTAAGAAAAACAACAGTGAAATAGTTGTTATATATTTATGGTATAAATATAAAATGTGAAAGAAATAATCAAATTAGATAAAGTGTCAAAATGGTGGGAAATGTGGCATCTGTGTGGGAAATACCCACTGCTCAGTATTTTCTGATTGTTTGTTTTTGTAACAACCCACTAACAGTCATTAAAATGGGTAAAACTAACCAATATTTTTTGATTGTTTGTTTTTGTAACAACCCACTAACAGTCATTAAAATACCCACTACCCAGTCATTAAAATTTTGAATTAATCTCTGATCATGGTGGAGACTGTTACTTTCATCCTACCTATATAAATCCATATCTCGTTTTGGGAAAAAGACACACAAAAAGAAAATAGAAAAATCCTCTTGTATTAATCCTTCATTTTCATATTCTGATTTTCTTATGCTCAGGTGTTTACATATATTTTGAAGTGCAATTGAGAGTTCTGGAAAAATCATTCGTGATTGTTGCACAAGTGGTTTACGATCGTTGTATCCTGGGAGTGATTGTCCGCGGAGGTCGCAGCAATTATCGACGGGCAATTTCACTTTAGGACATCGTGTTGTCACGAGACTCGATCGGACGATAAGTCTTATATATTTCTACATTTTATTGTTCTGAACATTACCGCAACTAGTTATTATTCCAACAATAGTTTGGGTTGAAATTCGACCATTTATCTAAACAAGAAATACCCTCTTATATCGGTCTAATTACAATGTAGTTATTTCGATTTTTATAACTCCTTTTTTAGAGTAAATGTACATCTAAGACAACAATATATAACAACAAAGAGTCAAGGATCCTAAATTGAAATATGTACACAGGCACAAAAAAACACATGGTACAAAAACAAAACCTATGGTGAAACATTTTTATTCAAGAAAGAACATTAAAGATGGTAGTATAATTTTCAGCCTGTGTCAATCTAATCCAAAGTAAAGCAAGTATCGCATCATATCGCGATGGATTTGAGATAATCTTTGTTATACTATCATATTATTTACATCTGAAACGTATGAGGTCCATTTATGCCACTTAAATAAAAGATTAGTCGTACAAGTCTATACAGAGCTCGATTGCTCTACTACTTTAGTGCCGATTCGAGCTAACCCTGAATGTGCTCCATTAATCTCTTCACCAATTGAGTCCCAAGCAGATGACCAACTCGCTGCAATCATGAAAGATTTCAAAAGGAGTGCAAGTGACATTTTGTACAAGGCTCGAGCTTTAAATAGTTCCTACAAATGTGATAAAGATAGTAGTCATCACAAGAGCGACTGCAAGGTAACAAAATACACACACAAATGATGATGAAAAGTACAACTAAATAACATTTATACGTGAAGTAACTTTCGTCCACAGTTCCACTTCACCCCAATTCGATCCAACGGCCGGGCAGTCTGGCAGAAGTTAATGTTGGGTGGTGGCCTAGTGGAATATTATTGGCGGGTGCAGTAAAATTGAGGCAAAGAAATAAATAATAGTGCTCATTGGGACTACCAATGGCACGTGACACGCTTCTTTGGACAGAAATAAAAAACCACCAAAATTTCTAAATAATTTTCTGTTGGTTAAATTCAAAAATAGTCAGTAAAGTCAAATTAATCTTTAGCCCCGTTTGGCCCGTTAAAATTCATCAATTTAATTTAAAATTTTCTCTCCTATTTTCAATACACAATTTTCAGTAAAATAATATTATAGGCAAATTGAAGACCTTTGATTCTTTTACAACCATCAATTTAAAAAAAAAAACATTATTTTTCCCATTATAAATCTAAATAATGGGAGCCAAACGGAGGGTTAAAGAGTAGTAGTTAATTGAATATCAACCTATGGTGTTGAATGTCAAATCATACTTAGGCCCCGTTTGTTTTTTATTTTTTAGCCACAAAAATAAGAAAATATAATCGTCATCCTTCACATCAAGCCACCATATTTTACTTTCCCTCTCTTATATGGATTCCGTAACGACTATATTTTTCATTATCATTATTAGAAGAATGAGAATTAAACGAGGACTCAAGTCCCGTTTGGTACTCATTTTCTTCAAAATGTATTTTTCTCTCTTTTGTTTTTAACCAAACATTCTTTATTAAAATAATATTAAAAGTAAATAAAAAAAAATTTCTTATTTTTTAACCACACATTTCCCATCATTTTAATATTTTAAAATACATTTTTATATGAAAATGAGTCTCAAACACCATCTTATATGGCATATACTTTCAAACCTGTACCCTTGGAGGCATAACCTGCGATTTACCTCCCTCACGATGCTCCAGGGCAGGGGTGGTGAGAGACCTTTAAGGTTAGGGTTTAACCTTTTTTTTTTTTTTTTTGTTACTTTCAAATTTTGCATACATGACATCATCATGTGGCATAACTTTCTGAAATGTAAGATTCGTCAGCCGTGTAGAATTGTGATGTTAATATTAAAAACTTTCTTCATTTTATAAAAATAGACTTGCTTTTATTTTTACACATATAAGAAAAATGTAATTGATATAGTTAGACATACTCCATCCGTCCCAATATTTCCCTGTTTACCCCTATTTAATTTTCAATATATAGTAGTAAATTATTATTGAAATTAATAAAGAATTTGAAGAAGAAGAAAAGAGAGTTATTTCATGTTTTAAAGAAGTGAAAAATATGTGTGTTTGGATGATTTCAAGAAGTTGACATATTTAGTGGGGAAAATTGAATAAGGATATATTGGTAAAAGAACAAAACAAAATATTTTAAATTAGTAAACATGTCTACATATTTGAGATAAGAGAAAAATGAATCTCAGCCCATATATTTGGGACGAAAAGAGTATAATATTTCCTTACATTTTTTTTTATTATATCTATACATTAAATAATAATTTAAATATAAGTAACTCATATTTGTTGAAAAGTAAGCATATTAAATAATAGTATATTAGAAAAAAAATTCAATTATACTTTCAATGAAGAAAATCAATCTTTATAGAGAAAACAGAATATTCAAAATAATCTATATTAAGTAATTAATAATTGAATTAAAATTTTACTATGGAGGGACAATAAAGATGGGACGACGGATCAAATAATGGAATGGATTATTCATTTTTCAAATGGAAAAGGGGACAAAAAGCAAGGCACGACGGGTCTGGGGAGGTTTTTGTTGGGATTTATAAATAAGAGGGGCAGAGAGGCGAGGGAAAGAGGAAGTTTCGTTTGCCCTTTGCGCCTCACTCATGTATTAGCCGCCATTGCTTCTTCTCGCTCAAATCTCGTTCTTCTTCTACAATCTTCAACTTTTTACTGCATTCATTCGTTGGTCTTCTTTGTGTGGGCTTGCCAAAAACTCTGTAAGATTTTTTTCCTCGTTTTAGTTTCTATGTTCATGTTCGCCTAATGTCTGACTGAATAATTAATTACTTTTTCTTTTTCTGGGCTAAAGTATTGTCGGAGAGAAAATGAAGTATGTTTTGGTGACTGGTGGAGTGGTTAGCGGTCTGGGGAAAGGAGTGACTGCAAGCAGTATTGGTCTCATCCTTAAGGCCTGTGGACTTCGCGTTACTTCAATCAAGATTGGTAAAAAAATTTTCTCCTTCTCTTGTTTTTGTTTTTGTTTATTTTTTTTGTTCTTCCTTGCATTGTCGATCTCCCTTTTGGGAGGAATATGAACGAAAATGTCTTGAGCTCTAAGCTCTATGATTAAACCCACAAAAGAAAAAGTGAATATGCTTTTCCATTTTCAATTTATTTTTCATAGTGTTTTGAGAAGCGGTAAAATTGCCTTTTCGTACTGTGACGAGGGATTAGACAGTGTTTGATTATGTCCTTTTTCCCAACCACAGGGAAATTTTCTCATTCTCTGTTTATCATCTTTTTATCTCTGTCTTAAAAGATATCCCTTTGATTTTTCTAATATTCTTTTTATCTCTTTAATCTCTCCATATCCCTTTTTTAGAATTTTCTTTTAGTTTAAACTCCCCCCCCCCCCCCCCCCCCAACCCCCCCCCCCCCCCCCCCCACAATTTCTCTCTGTTTTGTGCTGGTATTCAGATCCCTACTTGAATACTGACGCTGGAACAATGTCACCTTTCGAGCATGGAGAAGTATACGTCTTGGACGATGGAGGAGAGGTTAGGAAAAGCATCCTTCGGTCAAGATTAGCTTTTTTAGATCTATATAGCCTCTGTTTGAGCCACATTATTTTAAAAATGAGAATGAAAAATATAGCCGTCACAGGCCACACAAGAGATAAAAAGTAAAATATAGTAATTTGATATAATGGATAACGGTTATATTTTTCATTTTAATGAAGAAATAATGGGACTCAAAGAGGGCCATATATTTGGTTTCACCTGAATTTAGTTTTAATATTTTTTTAATTCTGTATAAAGATTGCAGCTATTTCATGTCGTTCATAGCATTTTAGTCCTGTCTGTAAATTTTGGTGTGAAATCTTGCTAGAAGTGGTCTGTTGAGAGTTGAATTTTCTTCATACCCCAAGTTTATGATGACATAATTCCATATTTGTAGGTGGATCTCGACCTTGGAAACTATGAGCGGTTTCTAGATATAAAATTGACACGGGACAATAATATAACTACTGGAAAAATTTACCAGGTAAGTACTTTGTTTATTATTTACTCCCTCTGCCCCAGAGAGATAGACTTGCATTCCCTTTTCGTCCGTCCCAAACTATCACGTCACTTTCTTTGTTGAGACTTGAGAGTATAATTGATTTATTAATTTATTTAATATATCCCTATTTAATGTGCATTATTATCAACGAATTTGAAATACTTCTATTTAAATTATTATTTAACACAGGGGCATAGTATTATATTTCTAATAATATTAATTGCATTTTCTTAATTTGTGTGAAAATGGAAATAAGCCTATTGTTGTGGGACGGAGGGAGTACTATTTTTATAGGGATCTAATTCATTTCTTCTTTGTTGACGTCTTTATCAAGTTGGCAGATTTTGATTTGTTTAATTTTGTGACTCTTATTGTCTTCCTTCAGTCTGTTATCGATAAGGAGAGAAGGGGGGATTATCTGGGAAACACTGTTCAGGTTTGCCACTCATTTTGCAAGTATGCTTTTATGTTGTACTGCCTATAATGGTGCATAATTTCACACTTCTTCACCTGTTCAGGTTGTACCTCACATTACTGATGCCATTCAGGAGTGGATTGAACGTGTGGCCCTTATACCCGTGGACGGGAAAGAGGGTCCAGCTGATGTTTGTGTCATAGAATTGGGTGGAACTATTGGTATGAAAGGTGTTTCACAAGCATTAAAATAAGTTAGTCTTAAACATTGGTTGTTTCTGAAAAAGATTTTTCATTATGTAGGGGATATCGAATCAATGCCTTTCATTGAGGCTCTGGGACAGTTCTCATATCGAGTAGGTGAGATTATTTCTGTGAATCTCAACTTATAACTACATTCACTTAAATTAACTTTTTTGCTGGCAGTTGTTTTTCTTACATTCTTGTCTCAATAATTGACCTTCTCAGGAGCTGGCAACTTTTGCTTGATACATGTTAGCCTTGTGCCTGTCCTGAATGTTGTTGGTGAGCAGGTGAGGTTTTGGGGCGTGAACTTAAAGACGCTACTTTATAGATATTCCTTTCTATAATTTTAAATCCTCATTATAATACAAGTACAACTATGGTGTTTGCATGGTCAGAAAACGAAGCCAACACAGCATAGTGTTAGAGGGCTACGAAGCCTGGGATTGACTCCAAATATTTTAGCTTGCCGCAGCACCACGGTTCTCTCTCTCTCTCTCCCTCTTCCCCCGCC